TCTGGACTGGTTTACTGGCTTAACTGATTCTCTATTTAGCAAGAGTGTCATTGTCTGTCTCAATGCCTGCTTTACTCAGAAGCACAATGCACAAAAATCTGGCCGTGATCCCCCCCGGACCCATCCTCAGTCATTTTTTATTCCCGAATTGGAAGTCATGGCTTGGAAGATGCACATCGATGCTACTCAAAGCAGTAAGGAGTCTGCGCAACCCACCAAGCAAAAGAAGCCGTCAAAAACTTCATTCACTTCTGATGAAGTTGACCATCTGGAAGATGGAATGCAAGTACCAAAATCCATCTTGGATGGGTGCTTGGCTAGCTTTACAGCGGCAGACGAGGCTCGAGTGAAAGGAAGTACCCAGTTTTTCAACGTTATGGCCCAGATGGCCATTTTATGTTGTCACAACTGTCCACTTTGGGTTGTGAACATGAATACCCCTGGTGAAGCTCAGCATTACACCCTTGCTTTATTGGTGAAGCTATTCAAACACTTCCCACCAAGTGTAATCGTTCAAATTCTGTATGATATTGCGTGCCAGCTGCATCAGAGTTGCATCAAGTGGGGCTTCCTTAAGCCTTACATGTCCTGCACCACTTTCTCAATCTCAATATTTCATGCGTTCGGTCATCAATGGCCTTGCCAAATAATTTATCATCCGCGCAAAACTATAGGTTAGGGTTTATTGGATGGTGAAGGTGCTGAGAGACTTTGGCATTCTCTCAGTTGGTTAATCACCTATGGGCAAGTAGCAGGGGTACAGTGGTCCCATCCATGATTGTCTAGAGCTCATCACTAATTTCTCTTTAGTTTCATGTCTGTATGTACCATCTCGATAGTCAGCTTGAGTTTGTGAACAAAGAGGGACTGTTCAAGCTGGGAGGCTGGCTGAGGCGCAAACTGTTTGCGTGCAATGCTAAATGGATGGAAGCAACACAAGTTCTTGCAAGTTGCAGATTCGAAGAGCAAGTCCTCTACAACAAATGGGAGAAGCAAGTTCAGGTGCAGACAAAGCCACTTCCATGTATGTTTCTGTCTCTCACTTTGTAAATCTACTGAACTGTCTATTCACTAGGACAATGCAAGAATCAAGGCAAAATTGCTGTTGAAGAAGTTTTGCATCTACAGAAGAGCTGTGATGCTCTTTGTGACAAAGTCTTCTACTTGCGCGACTTGATCATCAACCCCTCCATGCCTGCATGGGATGTTGCAACTTATGAGCTTGAACTGCAATTGGCGAAAGAGAATTTGATGAAAATGGAAGTGCACATAGCAAAGAAAGAGCGAGATTTGGGAGCATCCGGCAATAATGCTGTTCACCACTTGCTGAACAGTACCTATCTCAATGAGCGCATGAATGCATTGGCCCTACTGATGTGGATTCAGGAATGCCTACGCAGTAGAAAATTCAAGCTTGATTGACTGGAACAATCATACCGAAAGCAACAAAGCAGTAAGTCCTTCTTGCGAGCCTCCCTTTGAACATAAACCTAGCTTTGGTCTTATCTTATCTTACCAGAACAACATATCAATGAGCACACACAAGACTCTGTGAGGCAATGAGAGCCAGCCATCGCTGTCCTGGCACACAAGTATAACACTTATTGTGAAGAATTGAAGTGCATTATTGACCAGTGTAAAGCTCCACAATCCGCCATTGCACTGAAACCTATTGACCTCGATAACCTCTTCAATCTTGATGTCGATGACAATATTTGGTTAGACATAGGGTTTGGTTATGATGAAGATACTGCTCCCCCATTTTGGTTATCTAATAAACAAGTACGAAACAGTATTAGAGTGTTACTGGACCTGGATCGGTGTGTGGAAGAGTGGCAATACCTCCTGGCAGAGAGAGATGCAATGCAGGAGTGGTTTAGTGAAGAATGGCATGTAGTTAAGGCGGGAACGAGGAGCATAGGTATGATTTGTCCCTGGAGGCTTTTTGAATTTAATGACAGGCTTTTTGAATTGCCAGATCCCAATCTCAAGTACCAGCTCAAATTACAAAAACGATGGTTATGCTGATTGTATGCAACTTGGGAATGGGCATTTGTGGGTATTCCAGCCAGTGATAAGCTACCCACATGGGGACCATCAGAGGAGGAGGTTTTTCAGGCACATAGTGAGCTGGTGCTTGGTGGAGGTATAGATGCAGCAGATAAAGAAGGATTTGATGTCAAATTTGAGGCTGAAGCTGATGGATTGCTTACTGAACACTTGGATAGTTTGCAAGTTACACAGAACTATCGAGAGATGCAGAGTGAAGATTCTTTGTAACCATTGCATTTGGTATCATGATGTAAATTTTATTTCTAGGCATTGATTTGTTATATCTCATTTGTTTGTGTGCGATAAGTGAAGTTCTTGGGCAAATGGGCAGCTGCCAAAGTTAGAAATGATTTGCTGGGCAGCTGCCCAATCTGGAAATTAGGTGCTGGGCAGCTGCCGAAGTTGGAAATAATTTGCTGGGCAGCTGCCTGATCTGGAAATTAGGTGCTGGGCAGCTGCTGAAGTTGGAAATGATTTGCTGGGCAGCTGCCCAATCTGAAAATTAGGTGCTGGGCAGCTGCCGAAGTTAGAAATGATTTGCTGGGCAGCTGCCTGATCTGAAAATGGAAAACTGGGCAGCTGCCCAATTTGTAAGTGGTTTATGAGGCAGCTGCCTCAGTAAACAATGATATGAGGGGCAGCTGCTTATACATTGAGGTATACATTACATCAGTAACTTGTTCATTAAATATACATAAATATATAATTGAATTATTATTGAAATTATTAGAAAGAAGCTGGCAGCTGCCAAAGATGCAAGCTGGGCAGAATGCCCTAATTTGAACCTTCTTAGGGCAATATCATGTAAGGCAAATATTATCCTAAGTAGGTCACTTTGGGTGGCTGCCTGAAGTGCCAATTATAGGGTTCAATGACCTGAGCAGAGGATCTTGATAGGTGAAAAACTCATTAGAATCATCTGAGTAAGAGAACTCATCTGACAAAGAATTCTCTTCATCAGCAAGCCAATCAGTGAGGATTCTGACAAGTTCGCTGGCTCAATGAAGACCTTTGTTGTGGCCAACATCAGCCCATCCAGCAACCTGTTCAGTTTCAAGGTCATAGAGCTTGGGCAAAACTTGACCATGACAACCTTGCTGGACCAGGTACACTTGATGACATTGTTTGAACAAAATGGGCATTCATCATGGCTAGGAAGCCAGTCACTGGGGAAAGCAAGATCAATCAGAGGAATAATGGAGAAAGGGGTTTTAGTGAGAAACCACCTATTTTGTTGCTCCAGTCACATACAGTGATGGAATGCAGCTTCTCGGATACATTGAGCAATGGAATAAGAGCCAACAAAGTCCAGGAAAGAAGAGAAGCTCATTTGACACATGAGGTGCTGGACACAATATTCATAGACAGGAGCTTCCCACCAGTCCTCAAGATTGTAGAGATTTTGAAAAACAGACCCACCATTTGTTTCAGGTTGACAAAAGTTCTGAATGTCATCATTGTGATGAGGCCTCTTGAGACTGGCTTGCTCATTGGCACCAGCCTGTCCCTGAAGCAGTTGGTTATGTCTTAGAGAAAAATCATGGAAAAGGCAACATATGTTGGGACAATTGGGACCTTCATATGGACAGTCTTTTGACGAGATGTCAGAACAATGGAGCATTGAGAAGATCTCCAGCCTACCTTGTCCTTTTTGAAGGAGAGTATGGCAGTCTTAGACTTTGTAGACTCCCCATTCTGAATAAAAGATCCAGTGGTCAGTAAATGATTGTGTCAATGAAGTAGGATCCTTACTTTGGCATCTGTCTCAACACCTTTTGTGCAGCTAACTATCTCAGAATCAGAATCATTAGCTTCCTTGTCTTCATGGGAAGTCTTAGACTTGGATCTTTGCTCAATCTGTCATTACAGTTAGCGGGTGGTCACAGTGAAAGGCATTGACAAACCTTTTTCTGAATCTCAGCTGCTTGAGCAGCACTGAGGTGATGATCTTGAAGGGACTGGAGAAAGGCAGCACATTTTTCATAGTGTCACACTCCAACCGCCTCGTGAACAAGCTTGGCCAAATTGAGGCAAAGCTTGTAGGCATCAAAGTAGTCCTTTCATTTGGTAAGATCTTTGGCAACTGGCTTCGTCTATGGGGGCAGTTAGCTAACCATCTTAGTTTGGGAGAATGACATACCAAAGCATTCAACATCTTTTTGACAGCTGGTTTGTGTTCCTCCTTGGTGAAGTCAGCTTTGACAAGGTTCTGAACCATACCCTGGGCCTTCTTGATGGCTGACAAATGGGTGTCATACTCAGATTGGGCAGTGATGACAGTGGTTGCAGACATGTTTATAGCAAGCTGGCAGATGAAGATGCATTCAAAGAACTGATGTGTGAGGTAAAGTCAGAGACTATGAGCTTTGCCTGCCAAAAACTCAGTCCTTATATGATTTTGGTTAATGCCACTTGACAAAGTAGTTGTGACCAGTCAGTTGGTCCAGTTAAACATTGGGTTGAAGCTAACCTTGACACTGGACATGTAGTCTTTGAACTGTAATCCATTAGCACAAATTTGTGAGTTGTCTTATTACTAGCATTGTGATGTGCAATGGAGCTGCTGGCCAAGCATGTTGATGACTTTTGTCTCAAGTTTGATTGCCTCTGCACTCCCAACAACTGAGGACAGTTGTTATTTTTAGTTTGGGGGAGGGATACAGGCTAAAAGATGAGTCGACAAACTAGACCATCAGCAGAAGGAGTCATAGACCACTGAAATTTTGAAATTTTACACTCAAAAAGTGGTAAACTTTGCCTCAATGAACAACCAATTGAGAAGTGGAAAGAAATTGCTCAAAGAAACTATATTCCGACAAGAAGTCAGGAATCAGTGTCTGCAAGAACAAATTCTTGGCTTGTATGCATTGGTCATCTTGTGCAAAGAACACAGATGCCGCTGGGTGCTAAAAGAAGCTGAAGTAAAAGTAAAGGGCTCCAGTTTTTCATGGTTCCATTGGGAATTGAACCCAAGTCTCTCTTAAGTGTTAAGATGCTTCAAAAGTTCTTTATGATCTAGGCAGAGTGTTTTAACCACTAAGCTATGGAACCATTGGGAAGATACAAAGAATTTCAAAATTTATAAGATAAATTCTCAGATCAAGATGCTGGCCTATGACTAAGCTGGCAAGTTGAGGATACAAGGTACAACTGCCTCTGATATATGGGTCATTGAAGGATAGTCTAGCACAGAACATCCTCATTGAACTACAGCGGTAACTGGCCTTTACTGCCTGACTGAAGTAATGGGTTGGCATCCCTGAAAACTTGAATAAAGTGAATTACTCACAAAGTTGATGAGGTGTCTTGCCATATTCATCGGCAAGTCTGGCAAACTCAGTACAGTTGCAGGCTTCATTGGCCAAGTGCTGGTAGAACTCCTCATATTGAATATTGGTGTGGCCAGGGTTCTGACCATTGATGACTGGGCAATACACTCAATGCTCCACCGGATGGGTCTGGGTTTTGATGAGTCTGGCAATGTCCAGCAAGTTAAAATCATGATAGATACAGTCAGGTGGAAGGTTAGCTTTTCAAAAGCTGGCTGTTAAGACTTCATAGGCTGAGATAGGCATAGAGCTGTCAAACTGGGACATCATTCTGGCTGACAAGTCAATGATTGACTGCATTTGTTGCTCATATATATACAATGGCACCCTCATTGAGTATTGGTCTATGAAACATCTGTGAAATTTAAAATTCAATGGGGCAGCAGAATCTTGTGAATATTGGAAATCTGGTAGCTGAAGCAAAGTTGTCAACTTACATCTCACTTAAACTGACACAAGATGAATGGATTCTGCAAGCAATTTATTGTGCATTCTATGAAGACTATTTATTTATGAGCATGGTACATTGTATCTAAGAACTACTAGAGGTTCTGATGGGAAACTTGTCGACAGCAGACTCTTCCAAATCATCCCATCCAATGGCTAAAGAGAGAGTGCAAATCTGTTGCTTGGAGCCTGTAAAGTTTGGCATATGGTTTTTTAATAACTGAAGGACCTGGGAACAGTCGGTGAGCATGTGCTTGACCTCCACTTGGCACTGAATGTGTCAGCAAACATCCTTGGCATAATTCTCTTGTAGATTGTGAAGAAGCATAGCCTGCTCTCATAGACTAGCTGAGGTTGCTGTGAGTTCTGCAATGATGTCAGCAAGCTTGCCTAAAAAAAAAGGGGGTTTTAGCCAACAATCAGAAGGAGAAAAGAAGTCTTACCATCTTCCTCTGTTATGGGGGGTGGGATGTTGTCAACAGGATGATGGTCTCCGCTGGATAGAAAATAGGAACAGTGCAATTCTGTTTGAAGGCAAAATGTGCAAGAGGAATGGCTGAGAGATGAGCCTCCCATGCAGGTCCTCTGCCTAACCAGGCATTGCATACATGCATGAGACATATTTTGACCTATAACCAGAAAATCAGAAATGGTAATGTATGAAGGAAATATATATTACCTTGGTACTGAAGGCTCTGATGAAGGGTAGGGTCAATACAAAGCAACTAGAAAAATGCATGGTCTTTATATATCGGGCTGAGGAGAGTGAAGTACGTAAACAGATGTGATTGAGGCAAATAAAGCCAGATCACACTTACATATATGGGCATTTGCCAACTTTGGACTGACCAGAGTCACTGAACTGTAAGGTTCATAGATTCTCTGCCAAACAGTTAGACTAAAAAAAAAAACACATGTGCAAAGTTTCCCCTTCTGAGTAAAGTCCTTCATTGACCTAGGCCATCTTGTGTTCTATGAGCTTAATTGAATTTTGTCAACCGTGATCCAAGCAGTCATTGAAGTTCCTCATAGCGCACTCAGGACTTAGAGCATAGGTGCCTCGCAAGGTACCTTAAACATGTACCATCATTCAGCTACCCTTATGAATACAATAGGTCTCCTCCAGATTTGACTGACAGCTTGGGCTCACTACAGTCCTTTAACACCTCTTAATTGTCTTAACAAAACACAGGATCTAGTGTTTTGTTACATTTTTAGCTGTGGCTAAAAAATTGGCTTATCATCTCCCCCAAACTAAAAGTTCAACTGCCCTTGGTTGAGGTCAGTTGTTGAGTTTGACTTCATTGTTGAGACATTCTGTTAGTCTGCAGTACATGGTGGCACATCATGCTTTCAGTCATTTCCATTCACAGTCCTCTACAGTCCTCTTTTCAGTTTCTCTAGTTGGTTCAGCAAAACCTCAGGTACTGCTCAACCACCAACACCTTGTAGACCATCTCAGTCTGTTTAGCCAATTGTCCACTTTGTCGAGATCATTCTTTTAGCTTTAACTCCACACTTCCAAGGATTTAGCCATGTCATCATGCTCAATTTTCAGCAGTTTTGAGAGGATCAGTGCCTAACTTCCCAATCAAGAAGTACTATCTCTGCTGTTCCTGCAGCAATTGAGTCACTGTGTGCTTCTGTCAGTGAAAGAAGCTTGCCCCTGCCTTCAGATTTTCTTGAAAATGCAAGAAATCTTACTTTTGGGCAGGGAAATGACTTTTCCCCAACAGGGGCAGCTAAATCAAGCCCCTTTTTACCCTTTCTTCCATGTTCCTCACAGTTCTTCTCATCTCAAAAAGGTAATTTTACCTCTTCACTGTCCTTTGAGTCAGTCCATATCACATCTATGAACTCAACATTTCCTTTCTTGGACATATGGGCTCTTTTATTGTTTTGGCAGCTGCATGAATCAATTCTTTTCATGCAGTCATTGTGCACTTCTCTCACGCTTCTTGCCACTGGTGGTAGCCTCATGGCTTCTTTTATGCAGGGTCCTGACATCTCTCAACCAATGGGATTTTTCATTGGGTACCCCAGAATATTTTTGAGATTCTTTTTCCTTAATTTCATTTTTTCTTTAATTTTCATTGCAGAGGCATATATAAGTCCTAGGAAGCTAGGCTGCTTTTGCTCTAAGTTCCCAATTTCTACATCGTCCACTTCACCTGACATCATGACCAACCCCTCCAAACAGACAAAACCTGCCGCCACATCATCGAGCGCTGGCTCCTCCAAACAAGAGAAGGTCCAGCAATATCATCAACCTCAAGTGTTGGGCTCCAGTCCTGCTGGTCCATCAAGAGCTCAAGGGCACTCAGCAACTTCACTGAAGATGGCTCTTCCAGCTCTAACCCTACTCCCCAAATCCTCACTACCAAAACATGTCGTAGAGGGTCACCCAAAATTGCAAAAGTCATCCTCTGGACCCTCCGCTGGTTCATTGAGGAGCATTGAGGCAGGCTTCATGCCCACACCAACTGACTCACAAATTATGAGGCACCAAAGTACATTGTTATTTTGGTATAACCAACATTCACCCTCAATTCTAAGTCTCCATATCCTCCCAGTTAATCCTGATGACTAGGTCCTCTGGTGGGACAAGCTCAAGGTCTGTCGTTGACCCCTGGCACTACTATATCATCATTTCTTGTCATTGAATGCCACTGGCGGTGGTCCTTCCCCAGATGACATTGGGCTGGTCTTCACCCATGTGCAACCTTCCCTGGTAAGTTCCACTCTAGATTCTCCTTTACACTATCAAGCTCATTTCCTCTTTGTAGACTGAACTTAAAAGGTTCCTTCAAGATCAGATCTTCCTGGAGTTTGTAGCCATGCAACTCCTTAACTTTCAACAATGTGCCAGAGTAGTTTTGGCCAAGTCACTGGATATGCTGGGTATTATTTCCAGTGCCTGGTTCCATGAAGAAGTACTTCTCAAAGGTTTCATCAATGACCT